TCCTCCCCCTTGTACCTGTTTTCTCGGGAGATTCATAGGTCAGGCAGATAGAGAGCTGCTTTCTCAAATTTCAGCAACTCTATCAGATCCCTGAAAAGAAAGGTACATTAGAAAATCTCCCCCTAGGCTAATAGAGTTAGTGATCCTGAATTGGATTGTTTCTAGCCCACAATGCTGGCCAAACAGCACCTGCTGAGGTGGATATAGTTACTCTAGACAGACCACCTTCACCTCTCTTTCTGGTGGAACTTTTCCCCCAATGAAAACCAAATAGCCTTCTTGCAAAGCCATTGAACATAAACAGAAATTTTGATTCTCATTGTAGAAGCGTGAGAATGAAGGCCCCAAAACGCTCTGTTACATACCTGAAATCAGTTAGAAAGCTGGTGGTGAAGTTTTCATTCCGTCAATATTGTTACACAGAAGGTTACGCATATCTCCCTAGGTCTGCTGAGGTATCCTTAGCCTCTTTATCAATGACAGCAGCAGTTGCTGGGTGCAGTGGCTCACACCTGTGGTCCCAGCTACTTGGGAGGCTAAGGTGGGAGGATCACTTAAGGTCAGGAGTTCTAGATAAACTTGAGCAACACAGTGAGACCTCATCCTTAAAAACAATGTAAAAATTAACTGGGCATGGTGGTGCAAGCCTGTAGTCTAGCCTGCTTGAGATTTCTACCCTCCCTCCCGAGGTGGGAGGATCACTTAAACCTAGGAGTTCAAGGCTGCAGTGATTTATAATCATGCCACTGCACTTCAGCCTGGGCAACAGAGTGAGACCCCATTCTAAAAAAATTAAAAATAAGAGTAGCAGCACTATCACCTACTGATTCTTGAGTGCTTATTATGTGCCACTGTTCTAAGTGCTTTACATGGCTTTATTTAGTCCTTACAATAAACTTATGAGGCAAGGTACTGTTATTATTCCCAAGATCAAAGTGCCAGCAAGGTCAGTTTCTTCTGAGGCCTCTCTCCTTGGCTTGCAGATGGTCACCCTCATGCTGCCTCTTCAAATGGTCCTTTCTCTACACACACATCCCTAGTGTCTCTTGTTAAGCCAAATTTCCTCTATAAGGACACCCATCTAATTGCATAGAGCCCACTCTAATGGCCTCCTTTGAACTTAATCATGTCTTTGAAGACCCTGTCTACAAATACTGTGGTCACATTCTGAAGTACTAAGAGTCAGGGCTGCAACATATGAATTTTTGGGGGAAACAGTTTAGCTCATAGCACCTATACTGCCCTATTTAGAAACCACTGTTTTTTCTCCCCACCCTGTTTTCCTTCCTCCCTCGCTCCCTCTTTTCCTCCCTCCTTTCCTCCTTCTTCCCTCCCTCCTTCCTTTTCCCCTATCTCATAGCAGATGTCCTGGTATATCTGTTACATTAACAGCTAATATTTTCCAAATAAATGTGAGGCTGTAGTCAACTAGCTTTTCAAAAATGTTCAAGTAACTTTCCTTAACACTGAAACTTCTTTGTTGGGCTGTCCCTTAAGTAGTGATTCCGGTCAATCTGGTCAGTCTTTGTGTTCTTTTTCTAAATTGATGCTTAGAAAAGCTGGTGATGTCTCCATTTGCCTATGTCTTTGCAATTGGTGTAGGTCTGGTTCTTTTAGATGGTTGGGACCCCTCTTGGACTACTCTTGCCTTTAGGGCTTTTTGCCTTGTAGCCCCTTAGTTGAGCTCAGATTGACTTAACATGAGACACATGAAGATTGGCAACTCTTTCTTAAACCTGATGATCCAGTTAGGCAGGAAGCCAGCTTTTGACTTCTCTTTTGCCCTTCCTTCTTGGCCCTTTATCTTTTTAATTATTTTAATTTTTTGCTCATTAGTAGTAATGAGGAAACAAGCAAAATACAAAGAACTGAGTACTGTGTGTACCTGTACCATAGACATATATATACTCACATACACAAGGGAAGAGTGAGAGGGTGTTGGAAATATTTTCCACAGTCAGCTAAAGGATTTGGGGTCATCAGTGAATTTCCATGTGTTCTGCTCTGACTTGTGACTTACTGGCACCAGGATTTGCAGATCAGCTAGAGAATGCCTAGCCTTAAGTTTCTCTGAGTTCTCCATCTTCAAAGCTGAACCCTAAAAGAAGGACTGTGTATTCCAGTGGCCCATATTGTAAGTAAGTGCTCTTTACACCAAGGATTCTGGAAAAAGTCTTTCTTGATTCAGATGAATCATATTAAAGGGCAATTTCCAGTGACTGATTTTTGGAGGGAAAGTACATCATGAAACTATTGATTATTAGATTAGCAGGGAGCTCGAAGCTTGGCTGAGCTAATCTTATCTTCCAGAGGGTGAATTTAGGAGGATAAATGACTAGGTTAAGTAGTCAAGGTAGGTGCCCCCAGAACCCACATCTCTTGAGTGAGAATTCAGAGTTATTTTCCTATTCCATGAATGGAATTCAGGGAGAGTTTGTGTGCTGCTGATAGAGCCTCTTCCTAGATAAATGCACAAGCACACAATTTCGCAGACAATTTCAGGAGGGACACAGACTACCACTTTCTCTCCTAGCCCCTCTCCCCTCTGTAAGCCCATTCATGGATCC